CGGGCCGTGGTGGGGAGGTGTGTGTGGGGAGGGCGGGCGCGTCGTGCATGGACCGGCGGGCAGTTTGGTGGAGGGCAGTGTACACAGCGTGGACAGCGGTCAGGTCAGGGGTTGCTGGGCGGGCGCAAGCGCTGCGGCCGCCCCCAGCTCGCCCCCCCAACCGCGGTCTCTCTCCCCACCCGCCGCGGGCAACCAACCCCCGCCCTCCACACACACACACACACACACCACCGCCCCCACAGGAGCGTCTGGAGCGGGAGTACGACCTGGACCTGATCACCACCGCCCCCACCGTCGTCTTCAAGGCCGTCACCACCGACGGCACCGAGCACATCGTGGACTGCCCCTCCAAGCTGCCCCCAGGAAACCGCCTGGACTCCATCTCGGAGCCGTACGTGCGCCTGGAGGTGGGGAGCAGCTGCGCCCGGTACTGCACAGATTCCCCTGTTCGCCGCCGCCGCCGCGGTTTCTGCGCCGTAGCTTCGATGGACGGCGCACGGGCGGCTTCGGAGGCACGGACTGGAGATGGGAGGTGGAGGACAGCGAGAGCGCGCGTGTGTTGCAAGGGGCCTGCTGAGCAGCCCGGTGTGCCCATGTGCCACGCGCCGCCGCAGGTGATCACGCCCAAGGAGTATGTGGGGAGCATCATGGAGCTGGCGCAGCAGCGGCGGGGCGAGTACGTGGACATGCAGTATCTGACTGAGACGCGCACCACGCTGGTGTACAACCTGCCCCTGGCTGAGGTGGGTGGGTGTGCGGTGTGGTGGTGGTGAGGTGTGATGGTGGTGTGGTGGTGGTGTGGTGTGGTGTGGTGTGGTGTGGTGTGGTGTGGTGTGTGCACGCTCATGTGTGGTGGTGGTGATGGTGTGTGCTTGAGAGCGTGGCAGGAGCAGGGTGCTCGCCGCGCTGCTGCCTCGCCGCCGGCCGACGAGCCCGCCCCCTGCCGCCCGCCCGCCCCTCCCTCCCCCAGGTGGTCACCGACTTCTTTGATGCGCTCAAGTCGCGCAGCCGGGGGTACGCCTCCATGGAGTATGCGCTGACGGGGTGAGGAGAGGGAGGGAGGGAGTGTGTGTGTGTGTGTGTCCTGGATTTGGTCAGCCAGGGGCCAGAATGCCTCGGCCGCCGGCGTTGGGCACAGGCGCTGGCCGTCAGGGCCTGCCCGCTGGCGAGGTGCCGAGCGTGCCTGGGTGTGGCGCCGCCGATGTCGTGCTGGGCCTGCGGTACCGCAGGTACCGCGAGAACGACCTGGTACTGCTGGACATCAAGATCAACGGCGAGATGGTGGAGCCGCTGGCCGCCATTGTGCACAGGGACAATGCTTACTACGTGAGCCGTGGAAAAAGCCGCCCGCCCGGGGGTGTGGTTGCGCCAATGGCGCGGATCGCGCACGGGGCTGCACCTCTGCACCTGCCTGCCTGGCGGGCGGGCGGACGGGTGGCGACCGGTCGCTACAAGTCGACTGATCCCCGCCTGTCCGTGGCCGGCCTGCCGCCCAGGTGGGCAAGGCGCTGGTGAAGCGGCTCAAGGAGCTGATCCCGCGGCAGCAGTTCAAGGTGCCCATCCAGGCGGCCATCGGCGCTCGGGTGGTGGCCTCAGGTGGGGCGCCCAGGCCAGGCCAACGGGTGGAGGGCGGGGTGCTGGCTGGGGGCATGCTGGTCCTTACGGGCCATGGCGGGGGCGTGGCCCTGGCACCGCACGGTCGCGCTGCTCGAGCGCGTCCAATGCCCCACCCTGTTCATCAGCACACCTGCGCCTCCCCCTCCTCGTGTGCCTGGCCGCAGAGGCAATCCCCGCGCTGCGCAAGGACGTGCTGGCCAAGTGCTACGGCGGGGACATCAGCCGCAAGAAGAAGCTGCTGAAGAAGCAGGTGGGTGGGCGGGCGGGTGTGTATGGGTGGCTGGAGGTTGGCGGGCACGGCGTGCTTGCTCGGCTATGCTTTGGTGCCCGCAGCGCAGCGGGCAGGGCCGGGCTGGTGCCGCTACCGTGCCAAACATCCCCCGCCAAACATCCCCCGCCGCCACCCGCGCCTCCCCGCAGGCGGCGGGCAAGAAGCGGATGAAGTCTCTGGGGAAGGTGGACGTGCCGCAGGAGGTAGGGGGACCAGCCAGCCGGCTGGTGTCGCCTTCCTGCGCGCCCATCCCTGCCTGTGACTCGTGGCACCGCGCCGCGCCCGCTTGCTGGGCCCTGTTGCCTGGTGGCCTGCCTCCTGTGAACTGCCTTGCTACACCCCTCCCTGCCCCGGCCCTGCCACCCTGCAGGCCTTCATGGCGGTGCTGCAAATCAACCGCGACACGGCGAGCATGGACGAGTGACGGCGGCCAGCAGGCGCCTGCCCCTCCTGCAGCAGCCCGTGCGCCCTTTGGAGCGCGTCCCCGCTCCCACTCCGCGCATGCAGCTGCCCCTCCCCCCTGTACTCCCACCTCTTATTTTTCACCCCACACCTGTATCTCTGCCATTTTATTGCCGCCGGCGCCGCCCAGCAGCACATTTCTGCACTACCCGCCGGTTGCTCAATTCAATTTCCGTTCATACACACCATTTCAAGTAAGCTGCGCAACCAGGTGGCCGGCCACGCCGGCCACAGGCTGTTGGAAGCCCCTGAATGTGACAGGAAATCAAGAAGCAGGAGAGCAAGGGGTGCACGTGACGGCGACTGGCAGCACATGGGCCCTCTGATCTGAAACATGGATGTGTGGCCGCCGCCTAAAACTTGACAGCCTTGTGCTTCTTCTTCTTGGGCCTGCCGCCTTCCCGTTCCTCCGTGCCGTCTGGCTGCCCAAACACTGACGCCGCCAGCTCCTCTGCCGCCGCCGCAGCAGCCTGCTCCCGCCGCTTGCCCTTCTTGCCCCCCGACTGCTCCGGCAGCAGCGGCAGCCCATCAAAGTCTCCCTGCAGGTCGTCGCCGCTGGGCTGTGCTTTCTTCTTCTTCTTCTTCTCGCTGGGCCTCTCCTGCTGCTCCCCCTGCTGCTGCTGCGCGTGCTGCTGCTCCGGCCCCGCCGGCCCCTGGCCCTGCCCCTGCTGCTCCTCCTCCTGGGCCCCATTCTGCTCTGCTGAAGCGCCATCCGCCGCGGGCGCCTGCAGCGGGATGCCTAGCTCCTCCAGGTGGCGCAGCACCAGCTGCAGCAGCGGCTGCCCCACCGCCACCGTCTGCTTGTGGGCCACCTCGCCTGCGCAGGGAGCGTGGCGCATGAGCGAGGGTGGTGTGTGTGTGTGTGTGTGTGTGTGTGTGTGTGTATGTCTAGACACAACCAGCCAGGGCAGGGCAGGGCGTGCCAGGGGGTGTGCAAGCAGCAGCGGAGCGGGCTGGAATGCACACATGCAAGCGCAGCGCTGCGGGCAGCCTCGCGGCGCACCTGGCGTGGTGCAGCGCGCCACCACCGCGGTGCCTGCATCCACCTCCTTGGATCCCAGCTCCACCCTCACCATCACCCCCTTCTCCTCCCTGCACCCCGGGCAGGCGTGCAGCGCAGAGAAGCGCTGAGCAGGGCCAGGGAGACGACATGGGGGAGGCGTGCAGGCAGGCGGGAAGGGACAGGGCGCAGGCAGGCGCCGCCCTGGCCCACACGCACCAGTGCCGCATCTTCTGCCCCGGCGTCAGCTCATTGGTGGTATCGCTGTCGGCTTTGACGCCCGCGCCCCGCAGCAGCTGCACCAGCCAGCAACAGCACACGCGTTGCGTGGGCGCAGGCGCGGCATGAAGCGGCTGAAATAAAGTGCACCGGGGGCGCAGGGGCGCAGGCTGCTGCTGAGCTGGCCGGGTCGGCGGCTCCTGCGCCGCACCTCCTGTATCTTCTCTGCGGAAGCCAGGATCGATGCCTTCTCTCCGACCTTCTTGTTCCACACAATGGGGATGATGATGACCGCTACCCTCCTCCTGGGCTTGTGCTTCTTGTGCTTCTTGGCGTTGTACACCTTGCCCTGCATGGTGGGTGGCACATTGGCAGCGTCGTGGCACGCAGCGACTGCATTGGCCGCTGCCGGGGCAGCAGTGCCCCACCTGCTCCCGCAGCCGCAGCGCCAAGGCTCGCAGCTCGCGTTGGCGCTGCCGCCGCATCAGCTCCAGCTGGCTCAGCTGGGTGGCGTCTGCTGGTGCCTTGCGCCGCCGCTTGTGCTTCTTGGCAACGGCAAGAGTGGCGGCGGCGGCGGCGGTGGCGGCGGCGGCGCCGCCATCGCTCTTCCGGCTGCGCTTGCGCTCCTCTTTGGCTGCGCAACAGGTTGCTCAGGAGGCCGGGCTCATCCTCGCGGCAAAGCAGCGGCTGGAGGCCTGGGGCATGCATGTTGGCCATGGCGCAAGTTTGGCACCCCCTTCTCTACCCTACCTGTCATCGCGCCAAAAATCCTCGACAAACAAACCTGGTCAGGCGCCGCGGCCGTGTCCTTCATCATGCTACGTGCGCTGCGCTGGCGGTAGCCGCCGCTGCCGCCACACTGCGCTCTCTGCAGACACCACCTGCGCATTCAGTGAGCTGTTTTTTATCCTACCTACATTTTCTGACAGTAAATTGAGCACATGAGGGAAGGGCAGATGCAAGGAATTCGCACAGAAGATGGAAAAGAATTGGGAAAGCGATGTGAGAATTGGAAGTGTCAGGTTTGCAGAGAACGTTTTAAAGCAACAGAGCACCGAGGTGGCACTTGAGAAGCGAGACAAACGAAGAAGATGTGGAGCAGGGAAACTCAGAGGTCTCACAGGCTGGTGGAAAATTTTTAATTGCGATTCACATGTAAAGGGAGGCACAATCGTATGCTGTGTGCAGCGAATGGCTCTCGATCGTGCTAGTTGAGTCTCTCGACCCTACCACGCCCAGTGCTGCAGGGGAAGGGGCATGTGCAGAGCCGGCCAGATCGGCGGCAGGAGCACGCCCTGCGCTGGTGGCATGTGTGGAGGCTGCGCCAGCGCCGGCGCGGCCGGCTGCCACGGCAGCTGGGCAGGCAGCAGCTGCTGCTGCTGATCCAGGCTGCCCAGCAGGCCCAGCTCGCGTGCGATGCACAGCAGCTCAGCACTAGTCGGACCTTGCCCCAGTGCGCCCAGGCCCTGCAACACGCGCACAGGGCGGGGGAGGAGTCAGATTGACTGCAAGGCATGCACCAGGAGCAGGGTGCAGAGAGAGGCATCCAGCACAGTGTGCAGACCTGCTGGAACCAGGCTGGCGGCGGGACAGCCAGCCAGCATGGGAGGGTGCGCTTAGCTGCTCTGCCTCGCCGGAGTCGGCCCCGGCTCACCTTCAACAGAACCGCCTCCTCCTCTGGCAGCGACGACACATCGTCCGCTGGCAGGTTCACGCGGGACGGCTGCGGCACCGCCTGTGCAGGCCATGCCTGCGGCACCTGCTGCTGCGACGGCATGTACAGGACCACCACCTTTGGCGGCGGCGGCGGAGAGCCCGCGTGCGGCGGCGAGACGCTCCTGGATGGCTCCAACGCTGGGCGCTGCTCGGGCCCCGCCTGCCTGGTGCCGGTGGCAGGCTGGCGGCGCGCCTTGGAGCCGCTGCTTCCCTGCTGCCGCTGCCGCTTCTCCACACCCCCCTCGCTCCCACTCCAGTCCTGGTCCTCCGCCTCGCGCTCCCGCTTGCTGCGCTGCCGCCTCAGCAGCAGGCTGGCCTGGCAGCTGCGCCGGTCGCCGCTGAACTCGTCAATGGTGTGCGCCTTGGTGCACTGCAGGCAGTAGCGCCACACGCTGCCATCGGCGGCCACGACGCGCGGCACACGGCGGTGGTCTGGGCAGATGCGGTGCGTCTGCAGGCGGGTGTGGGGTGGCGTGTCAGGGCACCATGGTGTGGCCTATCGGGTGGCGGCGTGGCAGGGGGCAGCAACATGCGCAGGGCGTTCCTCTGATGTGCTTGGCGGCTCTGGCACCTTGGTGGGACGACTTGCCTGGCTTTGGCTGTGGGGCATCACGTTGGGGCAGCCTTGGAAGCAGCAGCGTTGGGTCACATTAGCGGCGGCAGGTTCCTCTTGCGGCCACGGCTGAGTGGAGTCGGTGCTGGGGGCCGAGGTGCAAGGGGTGCCCACGGAGCGCTTGTCTTCCTCCTGTGCCCGGTGGCACGCCATCTGCGTGGTGGGGAGGGTGGGGAGGGTGGGGAAGGGCAGGAGCAGCCTGTCTGGTGGTGTGTCCGGTGGCACCCATTGTAGCGGCGGCATCTGGCATGGTCATGGAGTCGTCACACATGGCACCGCAGGGCGCGCTCACGCCCCAGCGACCAGGGAGCATGTATCACCTGTGGGTGAGGATGCAGAGGACACTGGAGTAGGTGAAGGCCGCGGGTGATGATCCGCCGCCAGAGTGAGATGGTGGGCGGCAGCGCCGCTGCGTGGCTTATTGTGCGTGTGTTGAGTCACACAATAATTTACACAGCGCTGAATGGGGTGTGTGGTGGGTTTTCTGGCAAACTGGTAATATGGGACGTTTTGCCTCTTTGCCCCCGACGGCCGCTTGGCAACAGGGTCCCCAAAGCCCTCTGTTTCAGCAAGTGAAAATTGACACCAAGCTAGCGACGCGGGACCCCCATGTGTGGGTTCAACGCGCTTTGGGTCGGGACGTGCGCTCACGTGGCGGGGGGACGCGGAGAATGCCCCATTGCTCATTGATGGCCCAAACGCTGGAGTTACTCGAAACAATGAGGCTGAGGGGTGCAGGCGGGCGCAGGTAACGGCTGCGCCCATGGGGAACCGGACCAGCGGCAGGCAGCGCAAGCCGCTTCCGCCCCCCTTCATCTGCCCCAACTTCACTCACTGCCCCACTAGCTCCACCGCCACTTCTGGGCGCCCATTCGCTGTTGCTGTCATCTGGCACATGTTGCCCAGCTGCTGGCTGCTCTCTTGCACACAGGGTGTGCACTGCAACTGTCGGCGCCGGGGCGCTGAGCTCCTCCTGCTCACCAGCGCCTGCTTCCCTCCCAGCTGTGAGCTCACTCACGTCACCCCAGCCTCACTCCGCTGCTAGCACACCTGAATTACAGCACTGTAAGTACGTGGGAAATACATTGGTTGCTGCCCCTGTTGCCAGAGTGTCTGCGGTTGGTACACAGCAGGTAGCGAATGGATGGGGAGGCGGGTAGAGCATATGCAGCCAAGGCCCGCCCCAAAATCAAACAGCCGACAAAGGCCCGAGGGAGCGCATCAGTGTCAATCAATCGCTCAATGAAATCGAAAGGGGCTGCTAGGCGCACGCCGCGGAGCGCTGCGCCCGCCTCACTGCAGCATGGAGCCCAGGCCGGTCAGCGACAGGGTGTCCTTGACGATCAGGCTGACGCCGGCCGTCATGAGCAGCAGGAAGCCGCCCGCCATGATGCCCTTCTCCAGGTTCTCATCCACCTTCTTGCCGCCGCGCAGCGCCTCCAGCGCGATGAACACCAGGTAGCCGCCTGCAGGAGGCGAGGGGAAGCGGCACAACAAGGAGGGAGGTTGGGTGGAGAGGCACTGGCAGGGCGTGGGGAAGGGGCAGCAGGCAGGGGAGGGGGATGGTCAGGGGAGCACGGCATGGGTTAGAAGGTTAGAGGGAGGGTTAGAGGGAAGAGGATGGGGTGGTGTCGGGGGGTCATACCCACCTGCCGCCTGGGCAGATGCGGGGGCGGCTGGGGGCAGCAGGGCCCAGGTCAGGGCCGCGGCAGCAGCGCGGCGGCCGCCGCGGGCCCGCCCTGCACGGCCTGCTGGCGGAACCAGTAGGCCCCCAGCGCCTCCAGGTCGTGAGTGACCAGCCAGATGGCCAGCAGCACCAGCAGCCCGCTGCCAAAGGCCGCAATCAGCTCCTCCAGGTCCCGATCCAGCGGCCCGCCCGCCGCGCACTCCACGCCCAGCAACGCCAGAGCGCCGCCTGCCCGGGGCAAGCCAGGGGGCGGGGCGGGGGAGGCCAGGTGGCCAGCCGCGCGCCCGCCGGGGACGAGTGGGAGGGCAGCGGCAGGTGCGGCACGGCTGATGCAGCGGCAGGCACCGGCGGGGGCGACGGCAGCCAGTCCAGCGGCCCGCCGCCTCGCTCGCTCCTCGCTCCCTGCTCGACCTGGAACCTGCAGGCGCGGCACAGCTTCCCCCTGCAGGCACACGGCAGCACCCCGCACTGCCCCCACACACCACACCGCCGCCCCCGCAGGCGGTACCCACCGTCCAGTGCGGGCAGGGGCAGGATGTTGACGACGGCCAGGTTGATGTTGATGAGGGCGGCAAACTGGTAGAGGCCCGAGGTGGAGGAGCGCGCCACCTCGGCGCCCGCCGCCAGGATAGCCACAGGGCCCGACACATTCTCCACGGTGGATGAGAAGTTGGTGACAAACAGGTAGAGGCCTGCAGGGGCAGGGAAAGGGATGGGACGATGGGCAAAGATGCGTGGGGCGATGAGCAATCATGGAAGCATGGATGAGGGACGGGCGGCGGCGTGCCACAGGCGGCCGCGGGGTGTGCAGGCGGGGCAGGCGGGGCCCAACAGCGGCCGGCGAAGCGCACCCTTGAGGACGGTGCCTGTCAGGGTGAGGAACTCGTCGGCTGCGAGCGCCACGGTCTGCACCAGGAAGGGAGGAGGCTAGGGTGCGTGTGTGGTGGCATGTGCACCACACAGGCAGGGAATGGTAAGGGCGCGCCCTGCTCATTGCAGCATGCTGCGCGCTCGCATCTGCCGCCAGCCAGAAGCACCGTGGGCAGCCCCCGCCCCCCAGCCCCCGGCCTGCCCAGCGCGCCCACCTGCACCGGCCCCTCCCCCGTCCTCTTCATGATGTCGGCGTTGGCGGCCAGCTGGATGCCGATGCGGCCGCTGCCGTCGGCGCCAGAGGGCACGGGGGTGACGGGGATGCTCAACTGCTGGCCGTTGCGCTCAACCAGCATCACCAGCTCGCGCCCCGGGTTGTCCCTGCGCGACCAGGGGAGACGCCCGGCGGCGGCGCGGGGCTCTGGACACGGCAGGCAGGCCCCGCACCCCCCGCCTCCCATCTACAAACATCTACACCAACGCAGCAGCAGCATGGCGCCTCCTGCCCCGCCCCACCACCCCCACCCACCCATCACCCACCACCCCCACAGGAACTGTGATCCTCACTCACGTCCACCCACACCCACACCCACACCACTCACTTGATTGTGCGCACCACCTCGTTCACCGACCCCGGGCGCGGCGCCACCTCCAGGTCGCCCACCCGCAGCACGATGTCGCCCTGGCGCAGCCCCGCCCGCCCCGCCACCGTCTGCGCCTTGATGTCTCCCAGCTTCACGCCGGGCTTGTACACGGGTTCACTGATGCCCACGGTGCCGGCCTGCGGCATGGGTGGCGAGCGGGGGCGCGGCAGGTGGAGAGCGGGTGCGGGTGGAGAGAGGTGTGGGTGGTGCAGAGGCGGGGAGAAGGTGGGGCGGAGCGGGGCACGCAAAGAGGCAGCAGGCCCCGCAGCCGCGGCAGACCTGGAGCAGGCAGATGGCAAAGGCGAGGATCATGTTGGCGGTGACGCCGGCGCTGATGACGGCGGCGCGGTCGCCCAGCGAGCGGTTGCGCAGCAGGTCGGGGTCGTCGGCTGAGGGCAGGGGAGGCGGGGAGGGAAGGACCGGGCAGGGGTGCGGGGGGGCGGGTCAGCAGCGTGAGGCCGACGGCGCGGCATGCAACGGAGTGTGCGTGTGTGGTGGGGGGTGGGGGGGTCGCCGCCACACAGCCACACACGCCCCGCAGCCATTCCTCTCTTGTTTCCACACACTCCATCAATTCCTCAACCTCGCTGCCTGGCCACCCCCCAGCATGCCTCGCACCTGTATAGCGAAAGAGGGCGGACCGGAGGCGGGCCCCGCCCTCCGTG